CTTTCATACCGGTAGTTTATATTTAAATATTAAAAATTGTTTATAAATTTATTTAAAATACTATATGAAATAATGTAATCATTAAAATTTATGATAATAATTGATGTTTAAATAAAGCGAAAGATTGAAACACGTTAAATACAGACACAAAGTATACATAGACCTATTTCTAGATTACAGAAACTAATCTGTATTAAAATGATATAAATTTATATATATATATTATATATATATAAATATATATATACATAAAAATATTATGCGTAAATATGTATTTAATATAACAAATTAAATTTAAACGAAACTATGGAAGAAGCATAGGAAGAAAGAATAGGAAAAAAAATTGAGCAGCTGAAATATTAAACAAAAATGAACAATAATAATAATTTTGTCATTATTGCATCACATTTTTGTGAAAATAACCCACCTTAAAGGACTATCTGTCGTTTTCTTCTTTGCCACAGCGGACGAAAAAAAGTCAGTTATTCTACGACGTTTCATAATTCTTTATCACTAAAAATTAACAAACACTCGTTTTGACGCACTCCGTTCTGTTGTGTGTCTGCTGTTGAAAACAACCTTCCTAATTTTGTAACTGGCTATGATGACTGAGATGGACCATGTTGACTTATTAATAATATTTTGTTTGGGATGGAAAAAAGGAGAGACAATTTCCCAAAAATGCTCCTTCAGCAAATAGGTTAGTGTGCGCTGTGGACAGGATGGCTATGGAATTTACTAACCACACAGTCCACAATCAGGTGATTAATTCGCAAAACTTTAGCTGCACTTGGTGGATTAAGTCGCAAAAATTTAGCTTCGTTTTTGTGGCGGAATTTACTCTAGGTAGACGGCGATCGGTTTCGTTACAGGTTGGTACATTTCTTACAAACATTCAGGCAAAGGCCAGTCGAAGTTGAGACGGGAGCCGGGTTTTTAACGATGTTTGCCATCCTTATATGTGAGCCATCGTAAATTCATGGTTTGCCGGAGTTGCGTTCAATTTTAATCTCCGAACTTCTGAAGCCGAGATATTCTATGAATGAAGGTTTGTATCGCAGGCTAGAATTTAAAAACGTGTGACCAAATAATGAATTAGGTGCTAAATTTTGATTTAATGCTGGGTAAGGTAAAAACAGACATTCCGTCCAAGTGGGAATCATTCAAAAATTCGAGGGGGTTCGCTAGAAAACAGTGGGGTTCGCTAGAAAAGGGGGGTTCGCCCGAACCATAAAACCCCCTGGCTACGGGCCTGTTCTTTGATATTTAATTTTAGCCCCAAAACCTTGACTCAGAAATACTGGGATGGTGTCCGGCGGGGGATAGATTTACCATTGTTTAGTTAAGTTTTAAATTTATTTAACACGAATATTTCGTCCATTCACCTGGATTTTAAAACAAGTTAGATAAGAAAGAGGTAAATCAGTAGCCTACTAATTATTATTTAAGAGTCTGTATTTGCACGGGCGAGACTGCCACTTGTGCTTATCGTTGTTTATCATTTGAGTGTTGTTTTAATCATGGACCTAATAATTAATAATTGATTGACATTCACCATTTATATCGGTAGCACTCAACAGGTGGTGCTGCATACAAACATCTTAAATACAAACTGAATCTTTAAAAAAAAACTAATGAAAAATGATTCGATGTTATGTTATGGCAACCGCAGGTCCCCGGATACCCAGCCAAAATTTTCCAGTGTGTAGACATACATATACGAGAACAAATAAAGAATTATTTTAAAAATATATAAAGTGCAAAACAAAATTAAGCAAGGAAAATAATATACATATATCTATATATATATATAAAAGTGCTAATATATGTATATGTATATATATATGCCTATATATATAT